ATAATTAATTAATGGTAGAATTTCAAACTGCATATGCCATGAACATTACTTGAGTAAACAAAAAAAAAATTCACAGAAATAATAGCATAAGTGTATCTGAATTATTTTTTTTTAAATACAAATCTTTACACCTCCTTCTCACATGCACACGCATACACACACAGTGCAAGCAAGATTCTCTGTCACGGCTAAATACTTTTATTCCTTTATATTTGCATGACCATATAGATTAAAACCTATGAAACTTATATTACCTATGAAACCTTTATATTTGCATGACCATATAGATTAAAACCTATGAAACTTATATTACCTATGAAACCTTTATATTTGCATGACCATATAGATTAAAACCTATGAAACTTATATTACCTATGAAACCTTTATATTTGCATGACCATATAGATTAAAACCTATGAAACTTATATTACCTATGAAACCTTTATATTTGCATGACCATATAGATTAAAACCTATGAAACTTATATTACCTATGAAACTTATATTAAAACCTATGAAACTTTTCCTCGGGGTTGCTGGATTAAATCAACTCATCAAAATGAACAAGAAAAAAAAAGCAAACTTAGCACAATACCAAATAAAATAGAACTATCCCATCCAATGGACTAAATCCCTCATGAGTAATGAAGAATTGGAATTTAAACATTTCTTAAGGGTACAGAGAGGCAGAGTGTCGGTGGGTCCTAGGTAGACATCTCAAATCAATAAAAGTGCAGATAAATCATTAGGGCCAAAAAACTAAAACAAATAAACAACACACTTTTGGCATTGTTTTACTCAGTCTAAAATAAATCCTAAAAAGAGCCCTTTTCACATCAAAATTAGTATACCATCCCCAGCTCTATATTGTGTGTTGTTATAAAGAAGTAATTTAGAGTTTCACCATGCGCTATTTAAATCTCTTGAGTCAGTAATTTGTTAATAACTTCAGCCAACAACTATTAGCATGTTGTTTAGCACAGTGTGACAGGAAACAGCTGGGATCTTATTTTCATCCCATTGTGCAGTTATTAAAGAATATAGCTGAAAGCAATATACTGTCAACACACTATCTTAGCAGATGAATTTATAGGGAGACCCCCTTAACCATGAAATTTTCATTACACATATTTGAAATAAAACTTATTTGACTTCCAAAATTGCACAGGAAGAATACATATTCTGGGGCCTGATCCTCCTTTCTTTACACAGCTAAAACTCCCATTGACTAAATCAGTGGTCCCCAACGTGGTGCCCGCGGGAGCCATGGTGCCCGCCGGGGCATTTATGTGCGCCCACCGAAACATCTGGGCTGGCCCTGCCCCTGGCACGCGGCACACGTATGGTGCCAGCCCCAGGGGTGTGGCGCATGGGCAACCCCTGCCCCGGGTGCGCGGCACATGCACGGTGCTGGCCCCGGGCACAGGGCAGCCCCGACCCTAGGCGTGCGGCGCATGCATGGCCCCACCCCTGGAAGCACAGCGTGTGAGTGGCCCCATCCCCAGACGCCCAGCGCGTGAGCGGCCCTGCTCCCGGACACCCAGCAGCCACGAAAAGCTGGGGACCACTGGACTAAATGGTTAGTTTGGCTGAATGGACAATGCTGGTTCCAGCCCTTTGTGATGCCAGCAATCATATAAGGTAAAATTTACTCAGTTGTGGGCCCCGTTAATGCAGCACCCGTTACCATATATCCATGGAGTGGCAATGCAGATGGAAATGCATGCCATGGATAACCTCACCTGCATGTGGATCTAGTGACCCAGAATTTTCACATTAATGACATGGAGGTTCTGCAGCCACTATTCCCATAGGCTGAAAGGACAGAAGGACAGCACTACAATTCCATAACCTATTTGCAGAGTGAGTGCCATGGGATTCTTTTTGCAGCCCCAATTTTACAAGCTTTGTGTTTGCCAGAGGTTGAATGTCACTGTTATTGTATTATCATGATATGTGAGGTCAGAAAAGCTATCCAGCACGATCTGCCTACTTTTATGGTTTTTGTTTTTGTACTTCTAAAAATACAAACATTTCGAAGTTCTAGCTGTCTGGTTTTTCTCCTCTCTCTTCAAGAACATGTATAATACATGTTTAATTAATACAAATATGCATGATCTGCTGCATCCGGGACTCCACCCTAAATAGACTCTTGGCTCAAAGGATATTTATCCTGGCAAAGCACATATACCTCATAATGTTTAAAGCGTTCACAGAAATAATAGCATAAGTGTATCTGAATTTTTTTTTTTTTAAATACAAATCTTTACACCTCCTTCTCACACGCACACGCATACACACATAGTGCAAGCAAGATTCTCTGTCATGGCTAAATACTTTTATTCCTTTATATTTGCATGACCATATAGATTACATGTAGCTACAAGGAAAGCTCTAATAGTCTTATGTACATTAGAGTTTGGGGGGGGTCTCTTCTCTTGTTGATGTATGAGAAGCATTTATGCACAGAATTCTCCTAATCTGCCTTAAGAACTATCTATAGTATTTCCTTCTATTGCTAGTTGTATTATGTATAATATGTATTTGACAAAACTTAGTTTTTCCACACACAAAAAAATAATAATAATAAAGAAAATTGGTGCCTTAAGTGAGCCTTAATGTATTTCTAGTTGTAAAGTGTTTGAGTGTTCATTCTTTGCAGATAAGCTAGAAATCAAAACTCATGTCAGTTTCAAATAAAGTAAAATGTGAATATTTTGATTTGTGGTCCTGATGGCAAAATTTCGTGGCAGACTTAAAGCATTTTATTGCTAAAACATGAGTAGCACGAAGTGTGTTGGGTCATGAATGCACAGTAAGGAAGTTTCTATTTAAAGTCTGCAAGTGAACTTCCTTTTATCATTGGTGAAGTAAACCCCTAAATCCAGCAAAAAGCGCTTGTGGGCATGCTAAATTTTAAGTAACTAGCTAGTCCCATCAAAATCAGTGGAATTACTCACATGTTGATAATTAAGCATAAACATAAGGCACTGATTCAGATAGGTAATTAAGGTTGTGAGTAGTCTTGTTGAATTAAGTGGGACTGATCACATGCTCAAGGACCAAGCTGAATCAGAGGCCATGTCTAGACTGCCGCGTCTATAGTCTTAGTGTTTTGCTGTGTCAGGGTGTTATTAAAAACAATACTGGGAAAATATAAAGCCTAATCCCTATTCCCTGTTGATATGTTGATATAATACCACTTAATGGTGATGTTATTAAATAAAGGTGGCTGATTAACAAGTCCTTGTGAATCAGAAATAATCAATTTCATGCACATATATTCTAAATTGTAACATCTCTACAACAATTATATACATCTTTAAATGTCTACCACCCTGTAATAAAATGTATCATTTATTTTTAGTTTGCAAATGTTGTATACATGGTGTTGTGCTGTTATATTTTACTTTGGAGTGCAATAATGACATCAGTAAAAAGTCCTTCCATTGACTTCAATAGGCATTGAATCCATCCCAGACTGGTGATCATTTATCTAAACAAAAATCAATTAATGGTTCTCTATCTAGTTAGAATCGTGACATAACTTTCTAGTGATATTTTTTAAGCATATACAGGGATGAGCTGCTAGGTGATAATATTTCCTTGATATATACCCTTGATCTGTGTAAGGAGATCACACATTGGTTTTTTTTGAAGATGCTCAAAGAGTCATTCTAAGTCCAAACATTTTAGAAATCTCTTTGAGCATTTGAATCTCCAACAAGGTCTTGAATTCATTGCAGCCAAAAGAGAAAGGTCAAGCAGAAAGCACAAGCATATGGAGATTGCTATAGTGTCAGATAATGTGCCTAGAAATTACTGTAAAAGACAGCAGTCATTTTAAGTGGCAGGTTTTGATCCTGTTGAAGTTAATACTTTTGGGGCTTAGTTAGAAAAATAGTAGATCAACAGTTTTGACTGTTACAGTGAATTTGACTGAAAAATGAGCTGTGAAGAGGGCAAAGAATGTCCTGCAAATTTTCCATGTAATAATAAGGAAGATAAGATCCTCAAAATATCTAGTTGACAAGCCATTAAACTATTCTGACTGCATTACTTAACTGGAGGTCATTAATACCCTGGAATTAAGTCCATGAAATGCCAAGCTGTAAATAATACATAGTTACGTCCATGAACACACAATGTTCCTCCTTACAAAACTTCTAAACTTCAAAGTGTTTTTAAAAAATCCTTCTGAGCACAGAGTTACTTTATCTCACATAATAGGAATAACACACAAGCACTGTCTGTGGGCCTGAGCTAACTCCCACTGAAGTCAACAAGAAGGTTCCCATTGACTTCTGGGACTGTTACTTCAGTCCCTCTGCCCAGTCCCCAGCCTTGTTTTCATTAAAGCTTCTCGTGGATGGATTAGTGGGAGATAGCTACATGGCCCTTCTTTTGTCCTCTCACACCTTGTCCTAAGAGAGCTCTTACCAAGTCTCCTTTTCCCGCCAATTTTCAACTTGCTCCTTTTCCATCTACCCTCTCTTTCCTTTTTGTTTTCTTTTCTCTTTATTCTTTTTTGTTCTTTTATGTGTTTTGGGGAACCCTAACCCTCTGCATGCTCCCCCACCCTCTCATACAGCAGAGCCCCAGCCCTGTTCTCCCACTCACCAGAATTCTGCATGGCCCTAGGTGCCATGCAAGGCTGGTGCCATGCAAGGCTGAGCTGAGTAATGAGAACTACAGCTGATTGCAGAAAGGGTAGCAGGAGAAGGAGCATGACCAACAGAGTTGCCTACCACTTTACCTACAAAGGCAGCAGCATGATGTTGGTTAGATGGATCTGTATTCTTACAGCTTTCTTCATCCATACTGATCCTCTACGTCCTCACCTGCCCCAGCCTTCTCCTCCCTTGCTCCCCTCCTGCCCCCAAATTGATCTTGTTCTGGCCTCCAAATAGGGAAATACTGCTCTAAGAAGCAGCTGGCTGTGAAGATTTTCTCCTGTCCTTAAATTGGTTATCTGTCATTTAAATCTTTATTCCATTTCAGGTGACATACATAAGACAAGAATATGAATCAAAACTCAAAGGTCTGATGCCCACATCTTTGAGACAGGAACTCGAAGACACCATTGCATCTTTAAAATCTCAGGTACAATGTCAGCACATAGTTGTCTCCAATTCTACAGTTTAAATAGCATTCATCTCTTTTATAAAGTGATAGAAATGTAGCCGTGTTAGTCTGGTGTAGCTGAAACAAAATACAGGACTATGTAGCACTTTAAAGACTAACAAGATGGTTTATTAGATGATGAGCTTTCGTGGGCCAGACCCACTTCCTTAGATCAAATAGTGGAAGACTATTTGATCTGAGGATGTGGGTCTGGCCCACGAAAGCTCATCATCTAATAAACCATCTTGTTAGTCTTTAAAGTGCTACATAGTCCTGTATTTTGTCTCTTTTATAAAGGAAACTGTTAATGTATTAAATTTGACAATATTGGATTGAGATCAGTGATAAACTATTGCAAGAGACCAGTGCTAATCACACACCCCACTTCCCCAAAAAAGTCCCATCTCTTGGAGAATGTAATCATCTTTTTTGCGCTAAGTGATTTACTTCAAATGCCTTTGACTGTAGAAAATAAAGTCAGCAACGATGTTGCAGCTATAACTTTTTTTTTAAGACTAACCTGCTGAAGACAGGGTATGGTTAGCCACTGTCTATGGTCAGTAAGTCTCCAGAAGAAACTGGGTGTTCAGGATGTATGGAGAATCTTTGTTTGGCAGTCCAAATAGTAGAGCAGCCTTTTGCTTTTTCAGGTACTGCCTCAAAAGCCACTGTATTAATTCCAAGATTGGTTGATAGAGGTAATAACATAATATATTCTTGAAGACATTTGACTTAGTACCATACAACGTTTTGGTTTGGATTTGAAGCAGGAATTAACTCAGGAAATCCTATGACCTCTGCTATGCATTATATAGAACTAGATAGCTTCTTCTGGCCTTAAAATTGATGAGACTGTAAATTAATCTGAATGGCAGCACTAGAAGTAAGAATAATAATATGAAGACAAATTGTTAAACATCACTTTCTTATACTAAGAGGTTTTTTTTCCCCCAAACCAATGACTGATCATGTTAAATCAAACAAACCCTCATAAAAACACTTGATCCCTTTCATAGACCTAGTGGATAGTTAGGAAGTAGTCGATGTGATATATCTTGATTTTAGTAAGATTTTAGAGACAGACCCACATAATATTCTCTGCTGAAAAGTAGTACAGTAAAACTCCGATGGTCCGGCATCTGATTGTCCGGCACTCCTGATGGTCCGGCACCATCAGGAACTCGGAAGTGCTTCGGGCAGCCAGACCGTTGGAGCTGCTCTGCCCCCAGCTTCCCCGATTTAGCCGCTGCTGAAACTGACCAGCGGCTGAATCGGGGAAGCCGGGGGCAGAGTAGCTGGAGTGCCGCCCATGCCCGGAGCACTTCCAGGTTCCAGATGGTGCCAGACCATCAGGAGTGCCAGACCATTGGATGCCGGACCACTGGAGTTTTACTGTAATGCCTATAACATGCATATCCCTGAGAGTGCAAGTTTGATGAAGCTGAGACATATATTCATGTAGTGTAATGTAGACTGGGCTTGACATGACTAATTGGACACGGGTCAGGACTTATTTTTTGGAGACAAGAGTAGGCTCAGCAGGCTGAAAACAGAATGTCTGTACTAGCTAGCAAAGAGAGAACACCCAATAAACCATTTACAAAGGACAGAATAACTGACTACAATGAGCCTAGAAAGATGAGAGGGAGTTTGGGTGAAGGAGGCAGTTGTGACCATGTAGGTCATGTCTGAACAGTATGTGCTGAATGGAGATTGTTTCCTAGAAAGTGACCAGGCAAATCCCAAAACGTGTGATGCAATGGTTAGTAAAAGCAATGTAATGTATACAAAGGGAAAGGATTGCAGTATAACTTTGGATGTGTGGTACGCCCTATACCCATCCACTATGCTTGAGTGTGTGATCTACTCAGAGTAGCTTTGCTGTATGGCCAAAAAAAATATCTGTGTGACAGAATCTGAAGTTGAACTAAGTTCTGGGACAGGATAACTGGTTTAGTCAGTGTGAAAGGCTATGTGGTACAGCAAACACAATAAAGGTGAGAGTTCTGGGACTAGAACCAAGATTTCCTTAATCTCACTCCAGTTCTCAGGATCTTGTAACAAGAATTGCTCAGAAGCCTTACCAATAGGCATCATTACCTGCATTAAAGGGTTATTCAGCAACTCTTTGCTGGTTGTGATTTGCATGGAAATACAAAACAGTTAGTTTTAATCTCTTGATCCCTTCGCGGCTGAATCAGGGACGCCTGGGGCAGAGCTGGACTATCGGAAGGGAGGGAGGCTATGAAGGGTCTGGGGTGGCATCCCTCCCACCACACCCCAGGCCCCTCATAGCCCCCCTTTCCGATAGTCCGGCATATCTGATAATCCGGCACTCCCTGGGTCCTAAAGGTGCCGGATTATCAGACATTTACTGTACTGGGGGTTATTGTGAATAACAAATTGAGTATGAGTCATTGATGTCATACAGTTGCAAATAAGGATAATATTCTGGGCTGTATTCATAGGAATGCTGCATGTAAGAGATAGGAGGTAATTGTCCCAGTCTGCAAGGCACCAATGAGGCCTCAGCTGGAGTAGTATCCAGTTCTGGGTGCCACCGGTTAGATAACACATGGTTGGATAAACAGGAGAGAGTCCAGAGGCGAACTACAAAAATGAAAAAAGTTTTAGAAAACCTGCCTTTGGGGAAAGATTTAAAAAACTGGGCATGTTTAGTCACGAGTAAAGAACAATGAGGGGGAATCACATGAATCTTCAAATATGTTCAGGCCTGTTATAAAGAGGACTGTGATCAGTTGTTCTCCTTGTCCACTGAAGGTAGGACAAGAAGTAACCCACAAGAAGAAAAACATCCTAATTATAAGGAGAGTTAAGTACTGGAATAGGGTCCAAAGGGAGATTGTGGATCCCAAATCTTGGAGGTTTTAAAGAACAGGTTAGACAAACAACTGTCAGGGATGTCCTATCTAAGTGTGTGTGGAGGGTGGAGGGGGGTGCACTAGATGGCTTATAGATGCCTTCCACCCTGCATTTCTTTGATTTTATAATGCAAAAGTATATCTAGATAAGGCGGTGATGGGATGTACAGACGTCATTCTAAGGAGCGGAATCCTTCCGGAGCCATTCATGATCCACTTGCAATTATTTGAAATTCCATATGTTCATGAAATGCCAGAGGTTTGGCAGGGGAAGGTGGGATGAAAGGTTAAATTGTTATTTGAGATCTAAAGCAAGGTAATTTTTTCATGCAGAAGTCAATTTGGGGGAGCTCAGGTATGTTTAGTAAAACATTTTAAACGAGGTTGTTACAATAAAACTGCTTATAGTTTTAGGTACATGAGATACTATATAGATCCACTCTAATTTCCAAGAAACACAGGCTAATATAGATGCACACATTCTCCATCTGTCTCCCTAGAAATGGTTGTTAGTTTAATTTACTTATATTCTCTGTTCATAATACATAAAGGTTAGTTTGTAACATTTTTTGCTGTGCATGGGAATTTCCCTTGGCAATGTCAGTCTTTAACAGAAATATGAATTTCCATAATAGTGAGCTTTATATTCCCACATGTGAATGGCGACACAAGTTAATAGTTATGATTGCAGATATTTATTTATTGCATGTAAAGAAATTCCCAATGGTAGTGAAGTTTAATCTAATTAAAATAATTACAAAACACTCAAGGTTTGTGGCTCAACCAGGAAGATCTATTTCCAGTTGATAGTAAAAGGTCATTTTAAAAGTATGGTTTGCTGTTCACTTTGGTAGGGAGCATTCCATTGGGACAGATATAAGAATACTTCACCTTACAGTGAGTTTTGTTTTTTAAAATTGAAACTGATATACACCTGGAGGGCTTCTTTTAGGATCAGCAGCATTTCAAAAGACTAAAAGTAACTTCAGACTCCTAAAACTGGGAGTTAACACAGAAACACATTGCTGCCGGCTGCATTTGCAGCAATATACAGTAGTCACAAACCATTCAGGAAGCAGGGATCTCTTCTGAAGCACAGGTGTCCTCATCTTTGAAAATTGTTGAAATTCCTGTTTGAAAACATCAGAGGCGAATGACAGTGGAATCTTTGCACCTGTCAGGATTATTAATTGTTCCTGGAGGGAGCAAGTACTGTTAAAAATGAACAAACATTCCCTGCTCAGCAAAGTTTTCTAAAACTTTTAAAATACATTGCTACAGTTGTTCACTGCCCGTCCGCATGGACGTTTTGTAAGCTGTCCTACCATGGTCATGCTAAATAATATAAGCATGAATTCTCTCACTCACTCTGTAAGAAACTGTAATATTGTTTTCACCATATTTCAGGTTAGGCAACTGATGTAGAGAAGTGAACTGATTTAGTGTCAGAACTGGGATTAGAACTCAGATTCTCAGGCCTATGTTAAGTCCACAAGCGACATGATCCAGTATAACTCTGAGTCCAAAAAGTTGTCTTGGCATCCTTGGCTCCTGACTGAATGGAGAAGGTGCAGGATTAATGCTGTGGGTATGCACACCATGGAAACCACACTAGCAGCTAAGGTTATTTACTGGTAACCAGTTAGCTGGTAAGTATCACCCTTATCAGGTGATGCTTACCAACAGCTAGTTAACCGGCACCTGGGGCGCTGCTGCACCCTGGCAGGCCCACCACATCATGGGCCAGGGCCAAGGTCAGCAGCCAGCAGCCCTGCAAGCTGGGCGCTGCTCTGACCATGCTCCCTATCCACGGGATCCTGCTTAGTTCACAAGTTAAACATTACGTTTTTACATCCCTACTAGCAACTCTCTGTCAAGCATCCTTCTTAAATCCAGTTTGCAACCAAGGTGCCATTGTGATTTCTCTATCCAGCGCAAACCAGGTTTTAAACAGTAATGTTAGTCTCTTTGAAACAAGTACCAATTGATTTATTAAGATTTTGGACTCTACTTTGATATGGGATGTATTTTGTAGGTAAACTTTCTGCAGAAGCGAGCATCTGTCCTACAGGAAGAACTGAATGTGTACCACACCAGAAGGTAAATGAGTATCTTCTCATCAATTTGTACCACTGCCTACTTGTGTGTCTCAGCTACTGAAATTTTACAGCTCAATTAAAATGCTTCAGTATGGTTGCAGTTTAAAGAGAACCGTATTTTCAGGAAACACACTGTTACCCAGCTCTTCTAACTGCAGTGCTTAGTCAGTACTCTTAGAGCAAGATAAGAGAACTTGCAGGTGCAATACAAATCTGAGCCTTGCCTCCATGTTCATGATGAAACAGGCTCTGTGCACAGCTGCAAGTCTGTGAGGGTGCTGCCTTCTTTGAAAGCTAGAAGACGATGATGCAATTCTTAATATTATAGCTTACAGCTTCAAAGTACAGGATCTTCACAAGCTTTAGCTTGGTTTCAGACATGCACACCATCCAAAATAAATGACTGCCAGTGTTGCAACAACAATAAAAAGATTCTCCGTGCCCTTAGAGTAAATGATTCACATGGATGATTGGGGAAAAGGAAACTTCCAAGCAAGGTCATTGAAGTTTTTTGTCCTTATAGGGTTCATTGATAATTGTCTATATTGCATCCGGATTTCTGCAAAGAACAGGATGTGCACATATAAACAGCAGCTAGTGTAATCAAAACTGTGTAAGATACAAAAATTATCCTGAATATATGAATCTTAAAAGGACTTTTTGACATTTTGGATATGTGTAGCTTAGACTGATGATAAAATATGTACGTGTGGGTGTGGGTATGGGTGTTGTCTCCCTAAGATTTTTGGTTCGGTAACTAGTATTTTAGGAGACATTGTCAGATAAACATATTGATTCAGTATTTTAATATATCCCTAATCTATCTCCATTGAGAGCAATGGAATTACACAGCAATGCTTTGGTCTAAGTATTTCCACTGAGCCTGACAATCAGGCTATGTCTAGACTACATCCCTCTGTCGGCAGAGGGATGTAAATGAAGCACTTCGAAAGTGCAAATGAAGCCGGGATTTAAATATCCCGTGCTTCATTTGCATAATCACGTAATGGCGCTCTTTCAGAAAAAGCGCTATTTCAATATTGAAACCGCAGTCTAGATGTGGTTCTTTTGAAAACAGGGCGCTTTTTCGAAAGATCCTGTAAACCTCATTTTTAACCACATATTTAACCTAATTTTTTGAGGTTTACAGGAACTTTCAAAAAAGCGCCCCCTTTTCGAAAGAACCGCATCTAGACTGCGGTTTCAATATTGAAATAGCGCTTTTTCTGAAAGAGCGCCATTACAAGATTATGCAATTGAAGCACGGGATATTTAAATCCTGGCTTCATTTGCACTTTCGAAGTGCTTCATTTACATCCCTCTCTTGAAAAAGGGATGTAGTTTAGACACACCCTCAGTGTCTTCAGACAGAGAGCACTAGATGGCTAAGAGATTGCTAATGGTATGGAGACCCAGTCACTGGTTTAGATCCAGGTTACTACAGTCCAAAAGCTGAGCAACACAATTGAATGTAGCTTGTGAGTAATTAATTTAGTACCCACCCAATAGAGGAGATAGGTAGGAAAATTAACTTGACCATTGTCTTAACATGGATATACATAAGGCTAAACTGCATTGTCAGGATGGTTTGGAGCAGCCTGTACTGCTTCAGACTGTTCTGTGATTGCGGGAGGATCAGGCTAGAATCTTTCACAAGATTCATTCATGCTCAATTCTTGTTTTGTTTCTTGTTTGGGGTAAAGTGTCATCTTCACACTGATTCATTAACAGACCCCTTTATCCTTAATTGTCATTGTTGTGTGCTGTTTGGGGATAAGATCTTCTGTGCAGGGACTGATTGTAATACGTATGTTTTCAGTGGATAGCCTGATCCACCAGGCCTGTGAGCACTTTCTAATACAACTAATAGTAAGAAATAACTAAGTAGAGCATTTTAATTTGTAGGTAACTGCTGGAACAGATGAAATTGTTGGAGTGACAAATGGACTTCTTTCAGCAGGTTTGAAGATTTGGATCTTGTAAATTAAACTGTGAGATCAGTGGCTGTCTTATTAGCACAGAAAATGTAATTAAGCTCATGAAAGCACATCCATCATTCATGCCAGTATTTTTTGAGTTGTTTTCTTTCTTGAATTATTTTTTACCATTATCTTATTACAGATTTACAACTTTGATATATTAAATGTATTTGTGTATATGCTCAATTTACTTATTGGAAAACTAAATTCCCTCTAGCGTTGGTTTTGCTATTCCTTCCTAATATCATTTTTATTCAATTTTATACATGATCAAATCATGTTTATATTATTGTTCAAGATATTTTTAAAACATACTTTACATTGTTTTCGCATTCATATATTTACATAATATTAAAAATATTCTTTTGTACTTTTTTGTTTTGACATTCTTTGTGGTCCCTGCACATTTCATTTGTTGAAACAGTCATGATGTTAATAAAGGTTTTTCAACTTTTTCACTTGAAAAATGCTGCGATGTAGTCACGGGGAGAAATCCTGTTATGACTATGGAAACTTCTCCAGTGCTGCCTGCCGTCACTGTTCTGAGTAATGGCCCACAAGGGCCAGCCATGGGCATTGCAAAGGAGCGGCAGCCACGGGACAGTGTTCATTACTATGAAAGTGCAATAGATTATATGGTGTCTTTTGAAAAGATAAAAGTCAAACAAGGGCCCCTAGTCTGCAAAAACGTATGTGCTTAACTTTAAGTATCTGAGTAGTCCCAGCAAAGTCATGGGCACTACCCAGATACTTAGACTTGGTGGGTGCCTCGGTGCTTACAGGCTCTGAGGCATTGAAGCAATGGGAATTGAAAGCACACACTCCTTGCCTTGTCAGCCTGGGTTCTTTTTTCCTGGTGTTCACACTGTTCAAAAATGGCCATCGCTTGCTGGTTTGAATCCACAACCTGGGACGTGGGGAATATAAGAAACCAGCTGCTTTTCCCCAAGTGTGCCTCTGGCAAATAGAATTGATGTGGAGACAGCAATTCACTGACAATTGTCTTGGGCAAGTTATTTATGGTGGTGATAATCCTTCTGTACTTTCCTCATCATGTTGTTATGAGTACTATAATAATGATAAAAAGCTTGGTGATGGTAAGCAAGCACAATGGTATGGGATCCATATAGAGCCCCAGCTTACCTCTCAGAGCATGATGGTATGGCATCCATACTGAGCCCCAGCTTACCTCTCAGAGCACGGTGGTATGGCATCCATACTGAGCCCCAGCTTACCTCTCAGAGCACGGTGGTATGGCATCCATACTGAGCCCCAGCTTACCTCTCAGAGCACGGTGGTATGGCATCCATACTGAGCCCCAGCTTACCTCTCAGAGCACGGTGGTATGGCATCCATACTGAGCCCCAGCTTACTTTTCGGGGCGCGGAGGCATGGCATCCATGCTGAGCCCACAGCTCACAGGCTACTCTAATATCCCCCCATCTAACCTCTAGATAAATGAGGGAGGAAAGGACCATTGGGAAAGGAAACTTTCTTCCAGCTTTCAGTCCCTCTCTTCTCCACCTTTGCTTGGTGCTTTGTTAATTGTGAGACTGGTCCTGGCCTGTTCCATCCTTGGCTGGGCTCCAGGTTTTCTGTCTTCTCTGAATCAGTTAGTGGTCCCACTGCTTATGGATAAGAGTTCTTCACAGCTCTCAGATAATCAGAGAAGTGATGCAGCGGGTACCACAAAGCCCCCCTTGAGTGACTGTGCATTTTACTAGGAGCGATGTGCCAAGATATATTCATTGTTGGTAGAAAAATTTAAAATTGTTTATTCAAAAAGATGTAAGGCAACATTAATTCAACTCTTGAGAAGAAATGTCAAGAGTTCACTGAGTTGCAGGCTATGAATTGAGTGGATTAGCTTTTGAAAATTGGTTTGTGATGAGTCTGAGATAGAAGCTTCTCTTATGATGAAGCCTCTTTTCCTAAGCACAAGGGATGCGGTGTTTCTGATGATTAGCATACTGCTAATATTTCTGCACCTATCGGAGTGGTTGTAGGGCTCTTGAAATCAGTGCGGTAGCCAAACTAATGCACAAATCTCCATTGCACATGGATCCCTGGGTAGACTAACTGAATGCAGATCTGACTCTTATTGTATACTGAGGTAAGGGGTTGTTAACATCAGCGATGATCTCAACCAAACAGTTTAAGAATAAGGGCAAAAAGCAGAGCTTGGTGAATCTAAATGTTTTGAAATTGAGATGATCTTCCCCTACTGGAGAAAGTGCTTTTGAAGCAAAGGAAGACTACACCAGCCCTAGGTTCACACTATAAAAGGCATTGCTCTCATTTTTACAATGTTTCTCACTTTTTAAAAAAGTTGAGTTTTGCGCCTTCCCAGTCAGTGGTATGATCAAGAGGAATCGCACTGGTGCTGAACGAACAGGTAACAGTTGGTTTCATGTTTGTTACTCTTACTGCTGACTGGCTAGTTAAGGCCCATTATCTTAGTTTCACCTTCTTGCATAAGAATTGTCAGCTGAAAGTGGCTGATTTCACCGCACCATTGACAAGCTGTAGCAAAGTAGGCTTACAGTTTTTGGAAAAGGACATTGAAATCATTCACCAGTTGCGAGGAACTCCTTGCTCTTATCAAGGTGAAACTTTGTTTTGCTGCAGCTCACAGCCCTTGTGATACACGTAACAAATGTTTATTTTTCTTAAATTTAGAAGAACAGGAATAGACACACACACACGCCCCCACATGCAACCCCTTTGCTTTGTTCTTCAACAGTGCTTTAATTGTTAAGATTTGTTTTATTATTCCCCAGCATAACAGATGCTCTTCAGTAAATTGCCCATACTCTATACAAACAACTTCAACATTTCATGCTGTTTCAAACTGAGAAATGGCTTTGCTCCTAAGAGAGAAGACTTATTGTTACTGGAAGAAAATATTTGTGGTCACTAATATCCTGTAGTGTTAAAAGTTACACTGATCTTTTTTGAACATATATATGCAGTCCCAATGATAAGAAGTCTTAATAGAGAATGTATCAGGAGTCTGATTTTTAAAATTATCTTAATCCAAGTCACAATTCAATGAAGGCACTAAGCATTAATGAATTTTACTACGGCTCTTTCGGACAGTAGAAAGGGAAGACAGAACATCAAATATCATATGAAAAAGTTTCAGAACACAAGGTCATTTTAATTCAGACTTTTTTTTTTTAAAGAACTGACTTTTCTCAGCTTTGATATTTTGTTCAGAAATGTCGTTTCTTTTAAACCTTGTCATTAAAGAAGGTTTGCTCTTTAAAGTACATTATCAAAGAGTACAGAAATTGCAAGTTACTGAAACTAAAATGCATGATCAGTTTTAAGTCCACCAACTAAAGCCCACTTAAAATTACATGCACTCTTGTGCTGGCATCGTCTTTGATAAAGCCAGTGAAAGATACAAAGTTGATCAGTTCAAACCAGGAAAAGAAGA